TCATTCATTCATTCACTGGCTGCTCATTCATTCATTCACTGGGTGTTCATTCATTCATTCATTCACTGGATGTTCATTCATTCATTCACTGGGTGTTCATTGATTTCACTGAATGTTCATTCATTCATTTAAGGTTTGTGGCAGAGGAGGTTTGGTTCTACATCAGAGGGAAGCCGACTGCAAGGGCTTCATCCCAGCTCCATGCCTTTTCCTGTGTGGCCTTAGACATGTCCTTTGACTTTGCATCATTTGGCCACCACTGATACACGAGCAGATTGTCTTGGGGAAAGGCTAAGGTCCCTTCCAACTCGAAGATTCTGAGTGTGTTAAACTATTGGACAGACACAGTACACGTGACAGAGAAACCATAAGAGCTGTGATTCAGGGGGACCACCTTCATTTTCCAGGTCTCACGTTTTCTGCTCGGGACAGGTCCAAGTCTTAGCACATTCCTATCACTTGTTTAAGTGGAAAATAGCTGCGTTTTCCTTCTCTTGACAAGATTCTCTAGCTTACACGGGCTCTAACTTCTTGGGTTTTACTGCGTACACATACATGGCAGTGTCCTGGGGGCTGAGCTGAGAAAGGCCTCCTCTCTGCCCCCTCGGTGTTTGAGCACCTCTCGGTGGTCCAGGGGATGGTGAGGGCCCTGCAGTGTGGGGGTTCATGAACTGGTCTCCCTTGGGGTCACCTCATTGTTTCACCTCCAGATCTGATCTGCCAGAGTCGCTGCTTCAGCACGGTGCCGTCGGCCTGTATTTATCTCCTAACAGCGTCCTTTCTGCCGAGGGCCACATTGTGAATATTCTCAGCCTTGGGGCCATACAGTCTTTGTCTTAAGTACACAACTCTGCAGTTGTTAGTGGCTGTGTTCTAAGAATGTTTTCTTTACAGACACAGCTTACCAACTCTGTTCTGGAATTGTTACTAGAAAATCTTGGTTTGATTTTTTAAAATTTTTTTTTTATTGTTATTTGAGTGCAAGTTTGTGGAACAAATGGATTTTCCATTCAACAGCTTATACATTTTCTGTTTGGTGGCATTGATTTCAGCCCCTGCATTGGGACAGTGTTCTTCCCATTTCCTCCCTGTGTTACTTACTTCCCTTCATCCTTCTATCCCTTCCTGCTTCTGAGCTGTATCCCTGGAGAAATGTTGCCTGTTGGATCTTACATAGTTGATTGTTCTGAGGAGTGTGTTCCTCTCTGGTGTTATGAATCTCTGGTGTTACTAATTTTAGGGAAAGTCTAGCTGTTTTAAGACTTTAAAATGGTACTTTCTGCTTAACTGAGTTGTGTGGACATGGCACAGAAGCACTCAGCTGCTTACTGAAAGGTTGGCAGTTCAAATCCAGCCAGGGGTGTTACAGCACAAGGTCCTAGGTAGCTATATCCTAAAGGGCATTGAAAATGCGACAGAAGCACAGTTCTGAGATAGGTGGGGTCCCCTTGAGCCAGAATGGACTCCGCTGTGGTGGGGGTTTTATTCTTTTGCTTTCTTGTTTGTATTTGCTTGCGGTGGATGTGGTTAGCTGACTCTCATGTATGGGTCAGGCTCGGCACATAGTCTGTTTTTTTATCAACTGAGAGCTCACTTTGAGTCTTTTTCTTCCTGAACTTGTTGGGTCTTTTTCTTCCTGAACTTGTTTAACGAGAAGAGCATCCCAATATCTCCCCTTGGACTTAAATCCATGCTGAGGATTGTCCGGGGCCCTGGAGCAGGAGAGAGATGTGTGTCACTTTTATCCTCAGTGAGGAAAGCTTTTCCTAGACAGAGGTTCTTTGACTGAGGTGGCCCTGATGAAGCCAGCCTGTGTGCATTTTTGGACACATCCACAGGCCCTCGCCTTCATCTAGCCTCATCTTCTTCAGAATATTCCAAAGGGGAGGAGTGCAGTCTCGCTGCCATGGCCTGGGGTTTTGCTGGCAGCAGCTGTGCGGGGCTGCACAAGGCAGGAGGTGACAGTGGTGGGATGACCTCAGGAAATAGTCCTTGTCCTCAGGAAGCCTGGTGTGCACCTCTGGCATTGGAAACTGGACGTGGCTGGTCCCAGGAAAACAGCTTCCTCACCCTTCTGCTTTAAGCAAATCCTTTCTTTAGATCCCACACAATGGTGGTTTTGACTCCGGCAAGGACCACCGGGGGCAGGTGCATTCCAGAACATTCCAGATGCTTGAGCGGGCCGCCCTCGGCTGTGTTTGGTTTGCAGGGAGAGGGGACATCCAGCCCCAGCTGGACAGCGCCCTCCAGGATGTCAACGATAAGTACCTTCTGTTGGAGGAAACGGAGAAGCAGGCTGTGCGTCGGGCGCTGATTGAAGAGCGGGGCCGCTTCTGCACCTTCATCTCCATGCTGCGGCCCGTGATTGTGAGTTCATGGAAAGATCCAGAAGTTTTCCTTCTGTTTCCCCTCCCCTCTGCCGTGAGTTAGGCATGACCATATAGAACCCCTTCTGTCGGTCAATGACTGGGCCCTAGGCCTTGTCCACAATCCATATCAACAGTTACTCCCCCAAGTCAAGAAGGGGAAGCAGGGTGGCTGACAAAGTGTGATCCCAAACCAGCAGCAGCAGAGCCTCGCCTGGGGACTGGTGGACCCAGAGTTACCGAATCCCAGACTCTGGGGTGGGGACGGCCATCAGTGTTTCAGCAGGGCCGCTTGACGATTTTTGAGACGACTGACCGAGTCATAACAGAGTTGATGTTACAGGTTCAGTCCAGACCACCGCAGTGTGGTGGTGATCAAAGTAAATAAAGCCTGTCTCACGACTTTTTTTTTATTTCCCAGTACCTGGAAAAGCTTTGTTTACACTCTGCCGTAGTCTATGTATGAAATGTGCCATGGCATTTTGGAAAATTTGACATCTACTGAGAATTACCAGATGTGAAACACACAGGAAGTGAGCACATGTTGTTAGCAAACATGGTGGTGATAGGCTTGCTCGGTGCAGGGGGGCCACAGACCTTCAATCTGTGAAACAAAGCGCACTATCTGAGAAGCACAGTAAAATAAAGCGTATCTGCAAGATGGAGTCACCTTGTAATAGAAGAAGAGAGGAACAATCCAATTTAAACGTTTTTAAGTAAATTGTTATTACACTCCAAGTGAGAACTGCTGTTGTTGGCCTTCTTGAAGTTCATAAGGAAACACAAACTGACATTTCTCTGCCCAGCAGAATGTCAAAAGTGAGGTGTCGGGCAGAGGGCTGAACCGCAGGTGGTTCTTGCTGGGTGCACAGTCCCAACTAGGGATTTTGGTAAGGTGAATTGAGGATTTCTTCCACAGGCCCCTGCTCCCTTCTTACTTATCATTGATAAAGTTGCCAGAGAGACTTAGAAAGAAGGGGGCCAGTCAGCCTCTGTTAGAACCCCATGTCTGGCCAGAATAGTCTGCTCTCAGATCTGGACCAGATAATTCCAAATCACATCGTCCATTCAAGCTGTTGACTCCGTAGTAGTAGATTCTGGGGCAGCAGGAGCCACGGGACACAGTCAGCTTTCTGAGAGACCTGGGGACCCGCAGGTCCTGCGAAAAAGCACTCATTCTCGCCTTGGCTTGTTGACCCCTCCCTGTGGGCACCTGGGTCACTCCATGCTGATGGAAGACCCCTTTCCCCTTCCATTCTCCCCGCGAAAAGGGCTTGCAGTGGCACCAGTGAAGACATGTCAGCCCCAGCATGTCTCCTCTGAGGCCTTGGAAGGATTGGACATGGGTGCTAGTACTGGCTCCCTACCAAGAGGTCACCCACTTCTGAGGGTACCTGGAGGTGTCACTGTGACTCTTCCCCCCACCAGGAGGAAGAAATTTCAATGCTCGGGGAGATTACACACCTTCAGACGATTTCAGAGGATCTGAAAACGCTGACCATGGACCCTCACAAACTGCCCTCCTCAAGCGAACAGGTATGATCCATGCTAGGTGAATGCTCAGGGCCAGGTTGATGGGGCAAAAGAAAGAAAAACTCACGTCCTGCGTCTTGATGTCTGCATTTCCCCATGTCCTTCCCGTTTGAATGTATGATCATCCTGTGTTGTTAGTGCTGTCTGTTAATTCTGACTCAGTGACCCCATCTATAACAGACAGGAACCCAGCTCCGTCCTCAGCCATCCCCACCATCGAGGCTGACCATCATTGCATCGGTCCATCTTATTGAGGGTCTTAATTTTCACCAACCTTCTACTTGATCAAACATGGTATCATTCTTCCCAGACAGTGAATATTGTCCAAAGTATGTGAGACAAGGAGCTCAGGTAACCTAATGGTAAGAGGCTGCACTGCCAACACAGAGGCTTGAAGTTCAAATCCACCAGCTGCTTCACTGGAGAAAGACAGGCAGTCTCCTCCTATGAGATTTACAGCCTCTGAAAACCCGCTGGAGGGTCTTTTATGGGTCATTTCTAACTCAGTGGTACACAGCAACATAGGAGACAGTGTCACCATTCCCACTTCTTAGGGACATTCTGGTTTCACTTCTTCAATAAACATACAACTGTTACATCGCCCCGACCACGTGCTGAGCATTATCCAGTGCTCTTCAGGAAGGCATCGAGTGCCTCCGATCGCCTTCACTGTGATCCCATTTTACAGAGGACAATGCTGAGGTACCGAGAGGCTAACTGGACCAGGTTTGTCCAGCTAGTAAGCAAGCAGCAGGTAGCACTGGAATTTTAACCAAGCAGTGAGGTTCCAAAATCTGTTCTCCCAGCTGCTGTGTTCTTTACCTTCTGGAAGCAGACGTCTGCCTTGAGAACTCAGCAGTGGTGTGCTTGGACAAGTCCTCATGTTCAGTCACTCTCACTGCATTTCTCTGAGTCTCGTGAAGTAACGCATGGGAGTCACTGACATCGATGGCAGTTTTATGTTTTATCCATTTGACTCCCATACCAGGAAGTGCTTGCTGCCTAAGGTCAAGGACTGCAGCCTTAAATATGGATTGAAACTCAACACCAAGAAAACAAAGATTCTCACCACTGGGCCAACTGGCAGCATCAGGATGGATGGTGAAGAGACTGAGATTGTTAACAGCTTCAGTTTGCTTGGCTCCACAATCAGCACTCTTGGTGCCAGCAGCCAGGAAATCAGAAGACAAATTGCACTGGGAAAGTCTGCTGTTAGAGACCTCTCCGAAGTACTGAAGAGCAATGATGTCAGTCTGGAGACGAAGGTGTGCCTAATTCAGGCCATGGTCTTTGCAATTACTCGCTATGTGTCAGAGAGCTGGACAGTGACTAGGGTTGATATAAGGATATTTGATGCCTTTGGGCTGTGGTGCTGGAGAAGAGTATTGACTATACTATGGATGGCTAGAAAGACAAACAGGTTCATCCGAGAGAACATGAAACCAGGCTGGTCCTTGGAGGCAAGGATTCTGAAGCTTCGTCTGACATACTTTGGACATGTTGCAAGGAGCGACCAGTCCTTGAAGAGGAACGTCATGCTTGGGAGGGTGGAGGGACAGCACAGGAGAGAAAGACCTCTGGAGGAGATGGATTGACTCAGTAACAGGGGTAGTAGGAGTATGTGTGTCAGAGAGTCAGGACAGAGCAGGGTTTAGAGCTGTTGTACACAGGGTTGCTTTGAGTTGCAAGTAACTTGATCGCACATAACAAGTTAAAACTCAAGATAAGAACATTTGTCTCTGTGATGCTACCCTTGGTAGAAAGTAATTTTTTCCCCCTAAATTGTTCATCTGTCACTATAAAATATTTTTTTTACTGATATTTTATGGTTTTCCTTTTCCCTTCTCCCATTAATTATACTTTTTTGGCTTGTCTCAGAAAAAGTACTATGACATTGATGGATTGACAGTGTGGTTGTTTCATTTAAAAAAATCACAAATGGTTTTCTTTAATTCCTATCCCTGCATGATGGCAGAATTGTGAGATTCTAATAGGTGTTAGGATTTGATGCCTCTGGTTTTCCTTTGGTGAGTAAAAACTTGGGTTCCCCTTCTCAGCACATAGCTCACCCAGTTGCCTCTCTGTCTCTGTAGGTGATCTTGGACCTGAAAGGCTCTGATTACAGTTGGTCATATCAGACGCCTCCATCGTCCCCCAACACTGCCATGTCCCGGAAGTCCAGTGTCTGCAGGTAAGAGGAGCAGAGGTTTCTTCTTGCTCCCTGGACAGGCTGGGTTCTGTTTGCTAATGAAAGCCAGAGAGCCAGTCCCTCGCCTCCTGGGCTGGCTCCCTTCAAACAGGAAATAGTGATGGGATCCCTGGAAGATTCCATCATGGCTTCAGTCGCGGTCGTCTGCAGATTCACTTCAGATCAGTCAGAAAACCACATCATCCATAGGCTGGTGGGCATCGTTTGCTCTCTTCCAATGGTCCTTTCTAGGGATTTTCCTGTTTTATGACCTGACAATTGGTTTTCTCATTTAGCAGATTAAAAATTACAAGGACTGAGAGAGGGGAATGTAGGTTGACTTTATACAAACTGACTTCATTGTTGCCAAAGCTAAAAAAATAAAATGGAATGGCTGTGCTCACATTTCCCCTATGTTTTTCTCTCTGGATTCCCCAAAGAATTTGAACCTTGGGTTCTGTCCAACACTGCTGCTACCATGACCAACCTGTATAACATTGTTTGGCTTGGGATTTTAATTTGTATTGCCTCTGATTTCATTTTCTAGTGCTCCACTTATACAAAAGCGACAAGTTTTTAACAAAGACATATATTCTCTGCTAGAGAATAATTTAGGATGCTAGAAATGAAAGGTCAGAGCACTAGCTCTAGGGGCAGGCTTCCTGTCTGTTGGCTCTGGGGGAAAACCTTTTAACATCTGTGGGACCAGTGTCCCTTGGAGATCAGGGTCTAGGAGGTTGTCCTCATAGGGACCCTGGATCCAAAGGACAACAATCCATCCTTGGCTCTTCTTTGTTGGGGATACTTGGGTCCCTTCTTCCCTTCTCACTTCTTTCTCCCTTGATCACTTTTAAGACAAAAGGTGTTGGAGGCAGGGAGACCAGTGAGACTCCTCTTACGTCAGATCAGGCCTGTGTCCTGAGTGGGGTATTATATGACACCCTAATCCCCTTACAGTTGATTACCAGGTCACATCACAAAGGATGACTACATCATTGCACAACTGCCAAACTACCTCTTTAGAAAGCCAAATCAGAGACAAGTCTGTGAACTTGTGTTTTCCATTCTGTGTGGTTTTTATTAAACCATATGTGGCAGACATTTAAAAGCTATAGCTAAATGTTGATTGGGCACTTATTAAGTGACTAAAGGGAGAACCTTACAATTAAATAGCTCTTTGTCAAGCATAGGATATAGACATAAAAATAATCAGGAATAAATATAGAAGAACTGGTTGGCTCTAAATTCTGCTAGTCTTTAAACCTGGTGAACTCCAACCCAGGTATCCAGTCATTGACGACTTGCCTACAGGCATAAGCATTTGGAATAGTTCTATGTTCTGCAAAACTATTCGCTAGTAATTTTCCATTCAAAGGCTATATTTGGCTTGCTGGCTGAAAAGTTTATTCTTCTCCTCTTGAAGGATGGAAACATCATTGTGTATTGCTTATCTTTTTGAGAACACTTGTCCTGCTAATCTTTTGAATGTGACTCTGCAAAGCCAAATGACTTTTCACTTCCCGTGAATTTGCATGAGGGAAAAGCAAGTGAGGTCTGCTGAGCGATGCACGGAGTGTGTGTGGGGCTGCTTTGCAGACGGGCGGCCGCGTGCACAGCACACACTTAGACGAAGCTGAAGGTTAATGCTGTATCCTCATGTTCTGTTCTCAGAGGTGTTGGCTGGTTGGTTTCTTGCCCTCCTTCCTGGGTGTGTATGTGTCTGTGTGGCAAAACGTGGGGGGGGGAAGTGTGTGTGTGTGTGTGTGTGTGTGTGTGTGACAAAACATTTTTGTTTATAACCTAAAATACTCTGTCTCATTAGTGTCAGATGAAGCTTCATGGCTGGGTGCCTTTTCTTTCTTGCCACTTAATGTGAATTGAAAATCAGGTTTTACTAATAGCATCAGCTGAGGGCGGAGCTTCACTGGCTGTCCCCTAAGAGCCTACTGCCCGCTGATAGGGGGAAACCAGAAACCACAATAATTACAATCTGCAGCACTGGTTTCTTCTAGCCCCCACGCCAACATCTGTCAGAACATTGTGAAAACTGCCTTCAATTTGGCCTCCAACTCATTAGACCCCATGAAGAAAGGGATAGAATGCAGCAATGCAGCCTGGTCCTACCAAGTGGGGATCAGACCATTGCAATGAGTAGTTTTATTGGTAGATTTTCAAATGTAGATTGTCAGCCCTTTCTTCCTAGTCTTAGTCTAGAAGCTCAGCTAAGACCTGCTTAGCTTTATAGTAGAACTTGAACCCCCATTGATAGAACAGTGGTGACTACCCATGTAGTGCCCTGGCCAGGAATTGACGCTGAGTCTCTCACGTTGTTGTTTTGTACCATCGAGCTGGAACCAGCCGATAGCTGACCCTCCAGTGGATTTTCAGAGGCAGTGTATCTGGTGGATTCAAACTGCGTACCTTTGCAGTGGCAGTGCATTCCCTTACCACTAAACCACCATAGCTCTCGCAGTGACATGCTGTCTTGTTTTGTGCTTGTCGAGTCTTAACTGACCCACGGCTGACCCTCCCGCGGGTCAGAGGCAGTTTAATCACACAGAAGGAGAATGTACATCTTTCTCCTGCAGAGCACCTTGAGAAACACCTGGACCCCCGAAGTGGCAGTCCGTGTAAAGGAGGCGCTTGCATACGCTGAAGTCTTAGTGACTCATGAAATAAGGTCACCATTCCTGCAAACAGAACAGATAGGGTTGTTAGATCCGTCTTGTTGCATGCAACTCTCTCAATATGACAGCCAGAAAAATAGGTGTTGTACCTCTAACAGCAAACCATAGAAACCGTCAGGCATATGAATATCGTGGTGAAGGATGGCCCTCGCTGACCCCCCGCTGAGGCCCTCAGGGATGCACCAGGAGGGGGTCCCAGCAAGCTCCCAGAGACCATCCAGCTGAGTCCCTGGCGGCTGCCTTGTCAGATGGGAGAGCTAAACAATGAATGACAATCAGTGCCGTGGAGAAGAGCAGTGAATAGCTCATGGATTGCCAAAAGAACAGGTATTTCTTAGAGAAAGTGCAGTCAGAGGTCTCCTTAGAAGCAAGGTTACCAAAGCTCTGTACCACATTCTTCATATTGTTAGGAGGAACCATTCCTTGGAAAAGGGTATCATCGTGCTTGGAAAGATGGTCAGCTAAGAGAAGATGACCCTCAGCGAGATGGACTGGCAGTGACAGCAGCTGTGGGCGCTACTGTGTCCGAGCTGATGAGGATGGCACAGGATAGGTCAGGGTTCAGATCTGTTGTTTCTAGGGATGTTAGGTGTCAGACAGTACTCGACCTCACCTGACGGCAGCAGCTTTGCGTGCTACGGATACTGTTCCGTGACTCTGGGTGTAGACAACACCAGAACTGGGTAGCTATTGACTGTCCTGCAGTCCTAAGTGTGGAGTCACAACCTCAACACTGAGAATTGTACCATCAGAGAACGAAATAGTGGTAACTGGGTTTTCCTCTTGTTCACATGAAGAATCCTTCTCCTCACTCCTGTTCGTCATGGAAGGCGTCCTGGTTAAAAGCAGTCATTCAAGAATTTGGCTGCTAACCAGAAAGTTGGTGATTTAAACTCACCAGCTGCTCCTCGGGATAAAGAGGAGGCAGACTGCTCTACAAAGATGAAGCCCTGTGGGACAGTTCTACTCTGTCCTTCAGGGACACTAAGACTTAGAATAGGTTTGAGAGCAGTGGGGTTGGCTCTGTCTTCTTAGTGACAGGGGGGTTGGGGTTGGGTTCTTGGTGACAGTGGGGTTGGTGACGGTGGAATTGGAGTTGGGTTCTTGGTAACAGTGGGGTTGGTGACAGTAGAGTTGGGACTGGGTTCTTGGTGATGGTGGGGTTGGTGATGGTGGGATTAGAGTTGGGTTCTTGGTAACAGTGGGGTTGGTGATAGAGTTGGAGTTGGGTTCTTGGTGATGGTGGAATTGGAATTGTGTTCTTGGGGAGTTGGGTTCTTGGTGACGTTGGGGTTGGGTTCTTTGTCATGGTGTTGGGTTGGTGACAGTCGGGTTGGACTCTTGGTGATGGTGGGGTTGGAGTTGGGTTCCTGGTGACGGTGGGGTTGGAATGGGTTCTTGGCTACAATGGTGTTGGTGTTGAGGTCTAGACAGAGTGTTTGAAAACACGTCTCATGGTGGATGTTGGTATTCCTCCCAGGCAGTTGATCACAGTGGCATTCTCGTCTCCCCTCTGCCCCTTGCCTTCTGCCCCTCTTGTGCTCTCCATGCCCACCACTCTTCTCTGCCCTCCACAGCAGCCTGAACAGCGTTAACAGCAGTGACTCTCGGTCCAGCGGCTCCCATTCTCACTCTCCCAGCTCGCATTACCGCTACCGCAGCTCCAACCTGCCCCAGCAGGCGCCTGTGCGGCTGTCCAGCGTGTCCTCCCACGACTCAGGATTTATCTCCCAGGACGCCTTCCAGTCCAAGTCACCGTCCCCCATGCCGCCAGAGGCCCCCACCCAGGTAAGGTGCACCCTGCTCCCGGAGCCACCATCACAACTGACCACCATCGGTGGCCAGAGCCAGAGCAGGCCTGGACAAACCCCTGGCTTCTCCTTTGAGAAAGCTGATTCATCTTCTCAGCCCAGATACATGGTGCCCCACAAGAGAGATTTTGTGAGCTGGGTCGGCATCACTGCACTGACTGGAAGTGTTCACCATTAAATAGACTCCAAGGGTCTCCAGTGTGATCTGCCCCAGGTGCGCAACTAAACACCGAGCTGTAAAGAATGGGTACTGCATCAGTGGTGTGACTTCCTCCACATCTGATTCCCCTTCCATGATGTTACACTCTCCGATTCCTTTATGACTTTGTTGAAAGATGGAACACTCGTCAGAGCCCCTGTAATCAAACTTAGCCCCCTGATTCCGGGAGCAGGGGAGTGTTGAGTGTCTTCACCCACAGTTGAGTTGACAGGGCCTGGGCCCATCCCTGCCTGGCGGGTCCAGCTGGAACTGAAAGCAGCATCAACATAATCATTGTACCGTCACCACTCTGTCCCTTCACACTCGGAGCTAGCAGGCTGACACCAGCCTTCACCCAACATGCCAAAGGCTAGGAAATGTAAACTTTTGGGGCCCTCGGGGTCCCTGCTGGGGTGCACGGTCCTCACCCACACTGACCACAAGCTCCTTTAGACTCCCAAGGCCAAGGGCTTCAAATCTTAACATTTTCAGATTCCCACCCAAGAGTTTCTCTGTGTGCTAACCATGCCAGCCTCCCAAGGCATGGTTATTCCTGTTTTGTTGAGGAAGTGGACACACAGAGCTGTAAGTAACGTGGCCCGGTTTCAGTTACGTGACCTGCCGGATGAGGACCTAGAACAGGTAGAGCTCAGAGCCCCTTTTGCTCCACATCACCTGAAGGCCTCCAGGGACAATGTACTGGAAACCATGTCAGGTGGAGAAGGCAGCTGCCCTGTTTCAGAACCTTGCCCAGAGGTTACAAGCCAGCCTTGTCTGACTCCAGCCCAGTGAACCTCGAGCCTGGCAGCATCTTGGCCACCCCTAAACAGAGGCACCTCTTCAGCAGAATCGCTCGAGCTGCAGCTTTCATTATGTTGTGTTAATCCGCACTGGGTGCTTCGGCTTCGGTGTGACAGTGTCAGCCCCCCGCAGCCCCTCAGCTAGCACTAAACCACGCCTGCGTGCTTTACAAAGCTGAGTGAGTGCTCAGAAGAACGCAAGTTCGCGGTTTCCTCAAAGGCTCTTTAACACGCGGCCTAATTCTGTGTGTGTTTCTAAGTCACCAGACAATTAACCCGTGTTCTGCCCGGACACCCTTGCTGGAGGGTGGACCCTGCTGTGGGCACCAGGCTCTCGTGTGCCTGTTGGGTGGAAGCAGCGCGCTTGTTCTCTGATGATGAGGCGGCAGGTGGAGGAGATCTACTTACATCTGAAAGCCGGGGCCCAGGAGGGGCTGAGCTAGTTGTTTTAAAAAAAAAACACCTCAGCATTGCTGCAAAATTTTACAGAGAATTCCATTTTGAAAAGCAGATATTATAATTCAAGGCAGAGCCCCCCTCCCATCCCCTCCAGGTCCCACTCTGTTGGTGGATTCAGATGTGCAGAGAGTGGAGATGCCGCGTGGGGTCTCCTGGGCTGTATGTAGCTTTGTGGAAGCGACGGCCACAGCTTTCTCCTAAGTCGGGGCTGGTGGATTTGCACAGCCCACCTTTCACATGGCAGCTGTGTGCTTTAACCGCTGGGCAGCCAGGGTTCCTAAGGCAGAGGGTAATTGTCTATATGACAGGTCCTGTCATTTCAACTCTCAGTCACACAGACAAGTGGAACCCGGGTCAAATCAGTTCCAACTCTTTGTGACGCTCTATTGTGTTTCTGAGGTTGTTGTTTTGTTTTGTTTGTTTTTTGTCTGAGGTTGTTTTAACAGGAGTAGACTGTCTGCCTTCCTGTCACGAGCAGCTGGTGGGTTCGAACCACTGACCTTTCGGCTGGCAGCCCAGCATGTAACATTCTGCTCTCAGGGCTTGCTCTATCAATGATAGCCACTCTGTTTTCTACCGTACTCCCTTCAACGGGTACCAAAACCCACATGGGCTAAGCATCCCAGGTGGGTATCCCACCCTAATCCCCCGGGGGCTCCATCCAGGGCAAGACGTTCTTTAGAAGAAATGAACAGAAGTCGCAAGGAATCTGAGCGTGTTGTCTGGACATGTGCGGGGGTGAGGGAACTGCCCCAGAGGAGTTTTGAGGCTGTGATCCTTAACCGGAGCTGACACCATGGAGATGTTTTTCTCAAGTCAGACCTCTCTTCTGTCCTGTTCCCAGCCCCTCCACATGCGCCCCCTTTCCTGTCACGGCCAGTAGGACCATTGCTTTGATCACAGGGCTTCCCTTCCCTGAACCCAGACATCGCTCTTCAGGCTAGAAAACCTCAGCCTGTATCTTGAATCAAAGTGTCATCCACTCAGTGTTCTGGAGCTGTCCCTGACTCCAGGGATTGGACCCGCTGTGATGGACGCAGCCCGAGGGCCCAGCCCGGGATCCACAGTGATGGACGCAGCCCGAGGTCCCAGCCCGGGATCTAAGTCAGCAGTGACCCCTATGAGTGTGAGGGTGGTACAGGGCTGACCAGGCAGCTGGTGATTCACACCCATTCAGAGGTGCCTCGGAAAAAGTCCTAGTGATCTGTTTCTGGAAAATCCACCTTGGGAAACGCTGCACAGTGTGTTTCTACTCTGACACTTGGGCTGTATGAGTTGGAATCGACTCACCAGTATCTCAGTCAGTGCACAGAGGTGAGGGACCAGCCTTCGTCAGCCAGGGTGCCTGGCATGTTAAGACAGCCCTACTGCTGGGTTTTCCCAAGCCTTTTGCCTTGGCCTTAAGGTCAGGTACACTTCTGGGACCTTCTGGATACATCTGTGTGCAGGACCCCTGGAAGTCTGTATTCTTGGGGATGCACTGCCAGCGGGTCTAAACTCGATGGGTTTCCTGCTTCCTAAGGGCCTAACGCTCTGTGGGCCTCCTAACCCTCTGCTTCTCTCGTCCTTCCCTCTGTGTACCTGTCTGTCTCTGCATACCCTCCCTGCCCCCTTCCTTTGTCCTGATCGCCGGTGGTGTTCTGGTGGCTGGCGGCCTGGTTTCTGGTGGCCTCTCGTGTGGTGGCTCCCCGGCTGCAGAACTCGTCCAGCTCGGCCTCCTCCGAAGCATCCGAAACCTGCCAGTCAGTCAGCGAGTGCAGCTCCCCCACCTCAGTGAGCTCGGGCTCCACCATGGGCGCCTGGGTGTCCACAGAGAAGGTGACGACCGCCAGGGGTGCCTGCCTCCCATCCCTGCCCAGGCCGCCCACGGAAGCCCAGCCACCTGGATGCTCCAAAGGATGCTCTGGGCGCGCGGTCCCACTTGGGAAAGGAGGGTGGGGGCAGCTGAGGCTCTTTCCTTAGGAGGAATCATTTTGCAGGTTTCTGAGAAAGAGGAGGGTCTGGGGAGCTCAGGATTGTGAAGGCTTCTTCCCACAAGTGTCCTGGCATCCCTCCTCCACCCCTCCCCTCCCAGACATCCCACTGCGTGGTCTCCTTGTCGTCATCCCCTTGGCCATGACATTCCATTATGTCAGAGACTGTGTGCTTCGCTGCCTTTTTTGTTTGCTACCTCCGTTTCCAGCACACCCTAGTTTGGAGCCCCAAACAGGGTGACACTGGGGCACCCTAGCATGAGCTGATGTGGTCTAAGGCGCTTGACACTGTTTTAATCTGCACATGAAGTTGCGCAGCCGCTGTTAAGTAGCCAGAAAGCCAGTGAGAAGCCGGGAGATGCAGGACTGATTTCCAGCAGCTCTAAGATGTTGCCAAATGTTTCCTCAAGGGAATGCCCTTGAGGCCTGGCCACTGGGCGTCTCTGAGCTCTGGCTCCATCCTCGCCCCAAGATGCCTGAGCAGCAGCACACAGACATCAGCTGGACGTGCAGACACCGGTCCCCCTCCCTCGAATGTCAATGCCATCTTGTATCACCACGCTCATCCTGTTATATTAATTTTTTTCCCCTTTTCCCTCCCTTCTTGTTTGTTTTGTTTCCAGTTGTCTAACGGGTTTTATCACTATAATTTATCAAGTGAGTCCCATGTGGGGCCCGTGGGCACAGGCCTTTTCCCTCATTGCCTGCCTGCCTCCCGCCTGCTCCCTCGGGTCACCTCTGCCCACCTTCCAGACTACGTTCATTATTACACCATTGGGCCCGGCATGTTCCCGTCATCTCACATCCCTAGCTGGAAGGTTTGTGTCTCTCCTGCCCTCCCCTCCCATCGCCTCTGTCTTCCTCTCTCCTGTCCATCGCCCTCACCCTTTCCTGTCACTCTCGGCTACCTTCTCCCCCAACACCACCTCTTGAGTGACTGCCCAGTGGGAGCGGGGATCACAGAGCAGCGGGGAGCTCCAAGACAGACAGGAGCTGAGGGAATGTCTCCCGGCGAGAGGTGACCCTGCAGTGGTGGCAGGGGCCTAGGCTGCTTGATGGAGACGAAATCCACTGGAAGTGGACAGGCCCTGTCCTCCACTACCTAGTTCCTCAGCTCCCTTCAGGAGTCGCTCCAGGGCTGTGGTGGCAAAACCACGGCCCAAGGTATGCATTTAAATGAAAAGCATATGCAGACTTGACTTAGTCCAGCTTGTTTGATAGTAAAGTTGTGAAGCAATTTCTCAGAAAGTTCAGCTAATGCTTTTGGGAGCGATTTTACGTGAGACCAGGCCCCCTGTTTGAGAACTTGGTTTCACAGCTGCCAGCAGCTTGAGTGGGTCGTGGCCTCAACCTTCATGGTTGTGTGGACACCTCCCCTTTCTGTCTGAGGACTCCAGGGGTCCCAGTTGCTGAGCCCTTCGGTCCATGGGTGGAAGAGTCCACAGTATGGAGGGTGACCTAAGAGCCTCTACTGCCCGCTGGTGGCCACTCCTCCATAGTGTCATTAGCGTGACCACCAGAGGAGAGGTGATTGAGACAGGGGAGTCTGGGCCCTGAACAGGTGTCTCCATTGGCTCTAGCACCCTCAGCAGATGCTGGTCAGCTGTTGGGTGGCTGTTAACCAAGCTTCTTTCATAGGCCTCTTGCCTGCCCCCCTAGATTTTTCTCTTTGGGCTGTGGTTATCAGGGAGGTCTCAGAGGGGCCCCAAGAGTTTTCTCCTTCCTGTCTCGGAGTGGGGTGAGGGTGTAAAGAAGCTGCAGGTCACCCCAGCCTGAGCCTTCCCCTCAAGGCCTGGCTGTGCTCTGCGGCCCTCCGATGAGGCAAAGGTCCCAGCCCCCCTGACCCCTCTGTTCTACTTAGGACTGGGCTAAGCCTGGGCCCTACGACCAGCCTCTGGTGAACACCCTGCAACGCCGCAAAGAGAAGCGTGAGCCAGAGCCCAGCGGAGGAGGACCTGCTGCAATAGCCGGTGCACCAGCAGCTGCTGAGGACGCCCAGAGGCCGCGGAGCATGACTGTGTCGGCTGCCAGGGTGACTGTCTTCTTTGAGACTGGTTGGACCCAGTTAGGCTTGGCTGGCTCCATTCCCTACTCCCCTTTCTGTAGCTTTTGGAAGACTCCTGGGAGGCAACCTGGTGTGGCAGTCAGATACCTAGAACCTTCTAGAGCTTGGGTATGACCTGAGAAAGTCAGTAGTCCCCTGGTGCCCACAGAGGTGGTCTGCATGAAGTTCCACCAGAGGTGTGGCGAAGCCTCAGGTAACCAGCCCAAGGGCTCACAGTCTGTGCCTCTCTCATCCCCTCCACCTGCAGCCTGGTGAGGAGATGGAAACCTGCGAGGAGCTGGCCCTGGCCCTGAGCCGTGGCCTTCAGCTGGACACACAGAGGAGCAGCCGGGACTCGCTGCAGTGCTCCAGCGGCTACAGTACCCAGACCACCACCCCGTGCTGCTCAGAGGACACCATCCCCTCCCAAGGTAGCCACCGGGTCGGCCAGCAGCACCGGGAGGGCACAGCGGGCCCTGAACCCTTTATTTCCTTCCACTGCCTCATTCACTCATACTCACTCATTTTGTTGTTTCAAAGTATTTTGTTTAAAAATTTTTAACTGTAGTGAAAACATAATCGTGTTGACCCTTGAATAATGCAGGTGCTAGGGGCCCCTTTTGAGATGAAAAATTTCCGTCATCACACTTGACTGCTGCAAACCGTTTACCAGAGGACAGTGAACTGCTCATGTGGTCGCAGCATCACACAATGTTTATTTGGGTTTTATGATATTTTGAGGGAAGGTTTACAAATCATACTGGATTATCATACACTCATTTGACATTTTGTTTGGTAACATTAATTACCATTGATTAATGTGATTATAGTATCTCATCAACCCCTTATTGCGTGTTGCCTTTCCCTTTACGCTGATCTGTTTACTCATTTCCCTGCCCCCATCCCTGTTAACCCTCCAAGGTTGCTTTTCTCTGTGTATAAACCTTTCCTTAGCTTTTTAGAACAGGAACTCAGTCACAGTGTTGTAATAGCACCCTTGGGCTCTCCACAGCAGCATCAGGGAAAAAGGACCTGAGTGCAAGTGGACCCTCAAAGTCCAAGTCCATGCTTCTCAAGGGTCAACAGTATTTGCCAACTGAACAGTCCTTACAGTCATGATTCATTATGTTCAGTGCAGCCATCACCATTGTCTACAGAAACTCCACGGCCTCTACTCAGTGACCTCCCCAACTCGCCCCTCCCTCCCACCTCTGGAATCAAGCCCTAAGCTCTCATTTCTATACACCAGCCTCCTCCATGTATGTGGGATTATATCTAGCGTGTCCTGTCGCTGACTGACTTCATTCAGCCTGACATAGACAGTGCATTTGAATCACAACGTCACCCATGGCCTGCAGACTTCCGGATTCTTTCCCTCAATTGGGAAGGGAGGGCTCATCTGTGGTGGTTGTCCATTGGCACCATGTAAAGAGGTAGCCTGAACTTCAGAACCAATTAGATGCTGACAGTGAGCAGCATCTAATAACTTCATTTAAGGGGTAAATAAATTTACTTTCAGAGACAGACACAGAGAGAGAGCGCCTCCTAGGGTACATTTCAGTTGTCATGACCAAGAAAGAAGGATGTTTCTGTCATCTAATAGGCAGCGGCCAGGCTTGCTATTAAAAATCCTACACCGTATAGAACAGCTCCTACAAGGACGTGTTCTCCAGCCTAGCCTATCAGTAGCGCTGCCGTTGATGAACCTCGCTCTAAAATGTGCAGCTCTGAACTCCTTCCTTCTGAGTGACATGCAGCGAGAGAGCATTATGCTGAGCAAGGTACAGGCCACTGGTGGATCCAATTTTCTCATCTAGGAACCCCCTTGCCAGTAGTTCCATTTCGATCCACACGGTTGTTATGTACTGTTGAGTTGGAACCAACCCACAGCTGACCCTCCAGTGGGCTTTCAGAGGCTGTAAACTGCACAGGAGAATGTCCGTCTTAAGTCCGCACAGCAGCTAGTGGTTTTCAACCGAGTATCTGCGGGCTGGCAGTGCAGCTCTTTACCACTAAGCCACGAAAGTTCCCTATTTCTGTGTTTCTGTTCCTAGCCCTCACCTAACCAGAGAACCAGCAGGCCCACAAGAGTGATGGAGGCTGGTTTCATGCCCCATCCTGGGCTGGACATTCTACAGCTGTCCTCTTTAAGCCCTTATTTCATATGGAGAACCTCTGAGGGTCACTTTGGTCAGCCAGGCAGCCTGACCATCTGTGTGGCCGCTGTAGCCCTGTGACCTCCTGGGCCCTTGGTCCTCCCAACACAAAAGAATTAAAAAGTAAAGCTGCCACTTTGGCTCCCTCTAATCAAAGCCTTTCATCAGTTTCAGATTATGATTATTTCTCTGTAAGTGGTGACCAGGAGGCCGATCAGCAGGAGTTTGACAAATCTTCCACCATCCCAAGGAACAGCGACATCAGCCAGTCTTACCGACGGATGTTCCAGGCCAAGCGCCCAGCCTCCACAGCCGGCCTCCCAACCACCCTCGGACCCGCCATGGTCACCCCGGGGGTGGCGACCATCCGACGGACCCCTTCTACCAAGCCCTCTGTCCGTCGGGGAACCATCGGTGCAGGTCCCATCCCCATCAAGACACCGGTCATCCCAGTGAAGACCCCAACCGTCCCAGACCTCCGCGGGGTGCTGCCAGCTCCCCCAGATGGGCCAGAGGAGCGGGGTGAGCACAGCCCTGAGTCACCATCGGTGGGGGAGGGCCCCACAGGGGTCACCAGCATGCCCTCAGCCATGTGGAGCGGCCGGGCCTCTGTGAACCCCCCGCTTCCAGGCCCGAGGCCGAGCATCCCAGAGGAGCACAGACAGGCAATTCCAGAAAGTGAGGCAGAAGACCAGGAAAGGGAGTCGCCCCATGCCATGGCCTCCCCAGGCCCCTCGCCGCCGGAGGGCGAGCCTGCAGACCTGAGCCCACGAGACACCCCCCAGGGAGAAGACATGCTGAACGCCATCCGCAGGGGCGTCAAGCTGAAGAAGACCACCACCAACGACCGCTCTGCCCCCCGCTTCTCCTAGGCCGCCAGGCTGGGACTCTTTAATAACACCTAATTTGTCTTGATCCATTCCAATCTATAATCCAACAAGATTTTGTAGGCAACTCAGAATATACAGCTTTTTGAAAAATACTCCACACATTTAGATAAAGAAAATTTAAAAGCAACTTATGTAACTGACATAACCCTGACCTTTTCATTTGTAAATAGTGATGGTTTTCTTTCTGCACATGTGAATCTTAGTTTCCCTTTTGATTTTTTCTGAAGGTGCCAAATTCCATTTAACTTTTTTATAAGTCTTTGTAAAATTTTAAATGCTTATGGGGGGGGGGGGTCCGGGGAGGGGAACCACAAGGTAGCTCACTTCAGCAAAGGATTACTTTTCTCTCAGTCTTTCCAGCTTTTCGTTTCCCCCACTTCTTTTCCTGCAAGCTTTTGGAGATGCATTGTCGTAGTCCAGCTTAGAAGCAAACTCCAATTCTTTTCACGTACAAACAAAATGGACAAGGGGAACAATCCTCATTGAAATATATTGTGCTAGGTGAGAGAGGTGGGAAGAACCACTTAAGAGCAATATTCAGGAAAAAGTAAACCTGTGAACGGGACACAGTTGGGATTGGGGAGGGCCGCAGAGGGGCACGCTGTAGACGCTGTTGAACCTGTTCCATTAAGGGTAGCCTTTAGGTTGAATTTCTAGTAGCTTCCTTGGTAAGTGCATCCGAATTAAGCCATACTGGATTGCGGTGTTTCTGTAGGATGTTGTAAGGATTTTTCCTCCCACAATTCCTCTCAGCTGCACACAGCACCCACCTTCCAGACACCCGCATGCTGCCACCACTTGGGTAGAGGTAGAAGTCTCCATTTTTTTCCTTTCTCATCTCGTACTCACGTTCACTGAATCCAAATACATCCCAAAAAAGGCAGTTTCAGAGAAAAATAAAATATATTTGAAAGTGCCAGCAGGGAGTTCTTAGATATTGCAAAATGCCTTTTACTTAACTGTACCCAGCAGGCTGGGGACGTGGAAGAGCCCAAATATTTTGGAAAAATAACCACACACACAAAAAAAAAACACGTGTGGATTTAACAAGGGTCATTTGCTTGGAGTCCAGCAACTTGCCAAGGTGTTTACCAATCTGGGGGCTTGTTTTTCTTCTTTTCAATAAATGGCAGTCAAATGGCTACATACTAAACACGGGCAAGAGGATTTCTTTGTTGTCATCAGGGATCTGACCACTGTAACTTGTCCCTTTTTTTTGTATGCTAGGCAGAGATGTTTCTTTGGAATGGATTTATGTCTTCTCTTTTTAAGATGAAAGTTAGGTTGGTTATATTGCCCAGCTCCTGGAGCCAGCAGAGATCTGCAGCCCTGAAGGGACCAGTCACGTTTGGAGAAGACATCAGTGCTTCAAAAGGAAGGGAGCCCAGTTATGGGAATTGGGTCCACTGAAATTGCCTGTTTGTGACCATGGCACTCTGCAGAAGCTCAGTGGGTAGATCCCCCAGACCCTGCAGATGTCTGTTGGCTTGACCCTTCAAGTACATAACCTTATGCTTTAAGACATAACTGCATTGGATGTGAGAGTCAAGTACATGTACAGTCACTTCTATATATTAATACTGAACTCTGCTGTGATTGCTCAAGGACATTTTGTGTTACGGCTGCTTTGAAGCAAAGGCATGATTATTAGAAACTACTTAAGCTTTGTTTTCTTTGGAAAAACAAGCTCCTTTTACAGAATATAAGCAACAGTAGTGCCTGTGGTTTAGCCCACCGATCTTGGACGACTGCGAGTAGCTGATGCGTGGTGCAGATGACGCTGGCGAGGGCTGCCGCCTGCAAAGGCAGGAATCGCTGCGAGGGACTCACTGGAGAAGAAGCGGGATTGTAAACCTTTGAAAGAAAGAGGCAGCTGTGCCCTGGGTACAGCTTTTCACATGTTTAGTTTTTAAACGTTAGTATAACCTGAATAAATTTAATATAAAATGTTGCCAAGTTCAATGTAGAAAGGATGTGACAAAACACCTTGGGTAGTTCTGTTTGTGTTTTTGCATATTGTAAAAGCAGTGTCACAGCTGAAAATAAATCGTTTCTAAAGGTAAATTCCTGTGGTTTAGTTGCTAGTTTGTACTGAGTTGACCTCTCCCTGTGCAGATTTTTGTTGTGTATTAACAGTTGTGTATTGTGTCTCCCTTCTACATTGTAACAATTGCTTCAGCCTACATGATAAATAAAGAATCACTAGGAAGAAAAAAAAATATTAAAGTCCTGTATTTCAAGTCTTCCTGAAATCCCCAGGTCTCAGCCTCAGGTTAAAGAGCAGACTGAGACCTCACTAAACTTCTCCTGGAGAATGGTGCCAATGTTATTTTTGTGACGGTTATGAACCCTAAGGGTACTAGCTGCCTGAACTGATTCTCTGAAAACAAACCCAGTGAGTTATTAACAGAAAAGTAGGTGTTTTTTAATTAAAGCTCACACTACCTTTTAAACAAACACTTGGAATAAGAGTTCCGCTATGTTCTTTCCTTTTCAGTCTGCAGACAACTTTTCTGCTACAGAATAAAAAGCCACGGGAAAGTGCCTCCAAAACACATCAGCAGAACAGTTTCATCCCAGAACAGGCCCTTTGAGTGCAGCCATCCAAACTGCAACCGAGACAACGCCGTGACCCCCTGCATCCTGGCTGGCTTTGTGACTGCAGGAGACCTGTCCTCTAATACAAACTTGCATTATGAGAGGTGCATTATGAAATCTCAACCAAAAATTTTGACTGCAGATTTTAAGTTAACACAGAGGTACAGCGAAAACTATGAAAGCCAACACCTGTGTGAGTCTAAAACCTGCTTGAGAAGGAAAACTCAAAATATTTCCCTCTAATGGAGAGTGACAGGGAAATGTTAAGACTTCCCCTTGCCAAAGACAGGGAACTGGGGCCCAGAACAAGCGGCAGTCCTGTGAGGCCCAGCCCGCACCGGTTTCACTTTTATTTAAATCCTCAGTGTCAGCACTATTTTCTCTTCTTTGCATTCCTCTTGGCGACTAAGCTTGTTCAAATCAGTCTTCCAAGCAAATCCTAGCCCAATGCTATTTTTCTTTAAAATGCTTACTGACTTAGTAAGAACACCTAACTTGATTATCTGTTTTTCAAACCATGGCAGAGTAACGAAGTATCAGGTTCATCTGAGACAAAAGATGTGACAGTAGACTATGTTCAGTTATTTTTATTAGAGCAAGTGTGTACAGAGTCTATCACTTCACTTGCAAACACAAAGAGCCAGGTGTATTCCCCCCCTCTCTACGTGGGTCGCTCCCGGGGTCTGGTGACAAAAGTCCACCACAGTGGGGGCAAGTCACCTGCCCTTCGAGCAGGGGGCAGCGCTTCTGTTAGAGGACCACCAGGCGGAGTCTCCTCCTGTAGCTGCTTAATCTAAAGGGGATGGAGAAAACAAGATTACAAAAAGGGTCCGCTGCTCTGTAAGACTGCATGCTCCCGGGAAGAGGCAGCTGTGTCTGCGTTCCTTACACTCTCCCCTCCTCACTGATGGGCGCCAGTGTTTACATGCCTGCGTTATGTTTTACACACATGTGTTTATTCACAAACAAAACGGCTCTCCTTAGAAGATTTTCACACTTATTCATTAAGCAAAACCATGGGCACTGCTACCCGACTGCAGTTGTCATGACCCCACCTGTGCACCTTGGCTTGGCTGAGTGCTCTCCCAAGGACCGTTACAAACCCTCGGTTCTTCAATCAGTGATGTTGGTTTTAAAGGCCCCAAAGAGCAACCAGGCCAATCACATTAGAAATGTGTGCTTGTCCGTTCTAGTGCTCCCAGCTAGGCCCAGTTCTACCGATGGCCACGCCGCACAGAAGCCTATCAGGACAGAGGAGGGTGATAAGCCCACTCATTCTCTGAAGCTGAGAAATTCAGTCCTGTATTGTGGCTGACCTGGGCCTCCACGCCCATGTGCTCACCTACCCTGACTGCTGCGGCATAAACCTGTTACTCAAGTGTGGTGACTGATGCCACCGAGTCTACTCCGACTCCTGGCCACCTACGTCCAACACGCCGACCCAGCTGCTCCTGTGCCGTCCTCAGTCTCCACTGTGCCCAAGCCCAATGCTGCCATCACCGTGACAATCCCCACAATGTACTGCAAACTTCTAAATGCTGGCACGTCTCTTACGTAAAACAGTCTTCCTTGGCCAGTGACGTTCCTTACACTCAGCCTGGCCGACTGCCAATGCTCAGCCTCCTGGACCTCATCTCCGAATCCACACACCTCTGAAAACCAGTCAAATGTCCCCCCACCCCCCACCCTGCCCAATCTGACGAACAGCCTCCCATTCCAGCTCACCTGCTTACACGTCCTGTTGGAAAGAATTCCCGAAATTCACACACTGGTTTGCCGACTCTTGCCCTACCCGCTCGCCCCTCTCCCCATTGATCTGTGTCCTTACCTCCCGCTTACATCCAGTTCAGAGCCATTCTGTCATAACAACTCCTTTTTGAATAACCTCAAATCCCAGGCCACACCATCTACTTCCAGCTGTACCCACACATCTCAGTCCTGCTAAACTAAAAACTCAAAGCCATCAAGGCAGAAGTGACTCACAGGTGACCCTCAAGCAGGCTCCTGAATTACATGGGAAGTTGCCCATCTTTCTCCCAGAGTTACTGCTGGCTTTGAACTGACAGGGAGGTGAGGCTTACGGTTAGCAGTGCAACTCCCTATGAAATAGGCCACCAGAGCTCTCCACTAGCACTAAAGAAAAAAAATGGCCTCACACATTGTTTCTAATTTGAAGGGTCTTCACCACCCAGCAATATCATCCTCCAGCAAACGCCCCCTCCTCGTGACAATCCACCCTTTTCCAAATTCCCCTATAATGCTACACTTCCACTGCTTGGCTTCTCTCTTATTTCACTAAGAAAACTGAAGTCATCACACAGAAGTCTGTCATCTCCACATCACCAACTCTTCTAGTCCAAATGCATTTGTCTATTTTAATATGAACTGTCAAGTAACTTTCTTCCTTTACAACTCTCTCCAGCACTGTCACACACAAGACTCACCTCCCGCTCCCAGCTCTCCTGCCGCAGTTTCTTCCACGCCTCTCTCTTAGCAAAGTAATCCGGGTACATTGCCTTCTCCGAAGGATGCCAGTTATCTAAGCACCATTCAGGGACCTGCCAGGAAAGGAAACCATGGCGTCATTCACGTACAAGGTCGCTGACAGAGTCCGTTACTGACAGAGACTGCTTAGATGACTGTCGCGTCTGTTCTGAGCCAGTCACCAGCGGATGGCAGAACAGAACGGCGCACGGTCCTGCACCATCCACGTGATCACGGCTGCATGAACCGGGGGTCCAGCCACTGTGTCACTCCATCTCGTGGAAGGCCTTTCTCTCTTCACTGAAGAACTCTACCAAGTTCAATGGTAAAGTGCAGATCCTTCTCAATAATGTATCTGAGGTAAAGTCTGCACCCCAGTTCTAAACTGCACTCCAGCTGTACTTCTAAGACAGAGTCTTTTGGAAGTCCAGTCCATTCTGTATTCTTCACCAACACCATAATTTAAAGGCCTCAACTCTCTGGTCCCCCTTATTCACGGTCCTTATTCATATGCATACGAAGTGACTGAAAACACCATGGCTTGGGTCAAGCACGTCTCAGTGTTCAATGTGACACCTTCACTTTATTAACAACTTAAATCAGTTCTCTGCAGCACACTTCCCCAATGCAACATGTTTAACATCTTGACTGCTCTTTCCATGGTTACTGGTGGAGCCAAGTAAAATGACACCCTGAATGGCTTCACAATCTTCTCTCCATTCAGCACGATGTTGCTTATTGGTCCAGTTTTGAGGACTTTTGTTTTCTTTATGCTGAAGTGTAGTCCACACTGAGGCTGTAGTCTCGTCTTCATCAGTTGTGTTTCAAATCCTCTTTACAGCAGCAAATAAGGTCTGTGTCATCAGCATACTGAAGATAAAGGAGCCTTTCTCCATCCTCCATGTTTCGGTCTTCACATGATTCAGTTTCTTGGATTGATTATCTGCTTAGCACACAGACTAAGTAGGTAGAGTGACAGGATACAACTCTGATACCACCTTTCCTGATTCGATCAGGAAAGAAGGCAGTAGTCAAGGGGTGTGTTTAAAAGCATGACAAGAATCAAGCTGCTTCTCATGTCAAACAATAAATGGCAGAGTTAGACAAGAAACCAGAGGAAAAGGAATGCTTAGAGTGAAATACTACAGTTGGGAAATGTTAGTAATATCAATTAACAAATGGCATCACTCCTTATTCCCTGCATGCCATAAATACCCAGAGGAACTTTATATTATGGCATTACAGCAAGTGTTCCTTCCAATTTCCCTTAATTATGAAGCACCAATCCAAACTGGTTCACATGAAAGCCTACAAATGAGCTGTTTACCAAGTAATTTATCATTATATGAGCACACTGCAAGATGCTGGAGTTGAATTTAGATAGGCTTCAAAGCATCGAAGAGAGAAACTGACACCTGAAAAAGTGTCTGTAACTGTCAGGAGAGAAATTCGCGAGCTGCCCCAGCAGGGAAGCGAGCAGTTGCAAAGGCTAGATACCCAGAGCTGGCCTCTCAGAAGGCAGCTGCCCTGCCATCCCCACCTACCTTGTAACACTCGTATCTCTCATAGGAGGTGCCCCCCGGAGAGTCCGGGAAGATGTACGGCTGCGGGTGCTGACGGTACCAGAATTCCTCCTCTGCCTCCCGCAGGAGCCACGTAGCCTTCACCATGTCCTTTTCATTCGTGTGTTCCTCAAACCGGGCTCTCATCAAGCAGGCGAAGTAGCGGTACTTATCCCTTGAAGATTTGGGAGAGAAGAAGTGTTCCCATTTAAGCAGGCAGCACGGCCGTCTGACAAGACGCTGCTCTCCCACAATGCCTCCTGGCTGCAGGGTAACCTCCCACCAGCTTCCCACACCCAGAAACTCCCATACAAGTGCTTCCACAGCAGCCCCCAAATGTCGGCAGGTACGGACCAGAAACACCGTGCTGAGCACAGCCCAACTACTTCTCTCCTCCAAAGATTGATGATTTAAACTAAAAATGAAAAAACAATTAGCAAAACACAAAAGCTACCCTAAGTCACCAGAAGTCCCTTTTATTTTGCCCCCCAAAAAATACATGGTAGCTAACACAAAGACTCACTGCTATCAAATCTGTTCCAACTCGGGACCCTCTACTGAGTTTCTGAGGCTGTAAATCCCAACGAGAAGAGACTGCCTATCTTTCTACAGTAGAACTGCTGCTACATTTGAACTGCCAACGATACCTGGCCTTTGAGTTGGGAGAGCAGCGTGCTCAAGACTGTGTCACCAGAGCTCCTTCATGGTATTCGTGGGTATGTGTTATCGTTTGAGGGAAGAATACAGAGTATTTGAGAGCAATTTTGCAGTTTAAAGTGAGTAGCTCAAGGGCTAAAAATGCCATCAGGTGAGACAAAGCATTTGTGGAGACAATAAAAATGGAAGTAGTTGTTGTTCTGCCTACTAAGTCAAATCCAACTCAAAGTGACAAGATAGGACAGTAAAGAACTGCCCCAGAGGTTTTCTAGGCTGAAATCTGAGAGCCTCGAGTGGTAAGGAGCTGTGCTGCCAACCCCAAGGCACGGAGTTCAAGACCACCAGCTGCTCCTCAGGAGGATGGGCAACCTCCTCCTCCTCCCATGCCATCTACTGCCTCTGAAAATGCACTGGAGGATCAGATACAGGTCAGTCCTGATTCCACAGCACGTATCAAGAACAATCTTCGCAGATGCTGACTGTCACATCTTTCTCCTGTACAGTGGCAGGTGAGCTCCACATGCAGCCCTTTCAGTTACCAGCTCAGGGCTTAATTTACTGCATAGGGAAAATAAAATGAATTTGGTTTCAAAGCATTCTGACGAACTGAGTCTCCAAGATCTCGAAGGGATCTACCAAGTAATTGGAAATAAAACTAGACAAGTGAGCAGAGACCCAGGCACTGAAGGAGTATACTCAGAGAGACGACATCAGAGGGCCTGGGATGGGAAATGGAGAACAATTAACAGTATGAAGGCAAACAGACGGAGGGGACCTGGCAAAGCAGAGAGAGAATGTCCGTGAGACTGAGTAAGTCAGAATTTAGCTGTGATTGAATTCTGACTCACGGACCCTGAGTCCGTACACAGAGAACTGCGCCGTAGTTTTCAACACCGTGAACTATATACTAGGTGAGCTGTTAACTATTTGTGCCACGAAAGGGTTCCACTGTCACAGGCACTCCTGCTATTTCCCTCATGATTACGGGCTCAACAGTCAGAGCTGAAGTTCTTTTTTTCCCTAAAGAATTTACAGAAACCTTTTCTCCTGTTGTGTACCATCCATCCAATCAGATCCAACTGGCAGCAGAGGAGATTGTCCCGCCTTCTCTAGCAGAGCATCTGGTGGATTTGAACCGTGCACCTTCGAGATTGCAATCGCAGCACGGTTTCCGTGAACTGGCAGAATTCAGAGCACCCTTCAGCTGACATGGTCACGCAGGGCCCCCCTGCAGCACAGTTTCTAGCCACCAGAGCTCCCAAGAGCTGAATTCTTGAAGGCTCTACCTTCTCCATCCATATGAAGTTCTGGGAATTCTGTATTTCCTAAACTGTGTTTACATGTCCATTTTTCCCACTGATTCAATACATGCTACAGCTTGGAAAGTGGATTCTCTTTCTTTATTCACCAAGCAGCACGAGACAGAATCACCTGAATGAATGATGGGGAAGCACAGGGAAGCAGATGAACACACACACACACACACACACACACACACACACAC